ATGTCACAAGACATATGTGTTGTACATGTTGTAGAGACCTGTGGTTATGAGCCAAGGACTAGGTGGAAAACTTTTTTTTAGCATTATACTCTAAGTTTGGAATACCAGTAGGTTTGGGTCAGGAATAATTAAGACCAAGATATAAAAATTCCTTAGACTGGTCTTGCTGATTCACTAACAATATTTACAAGGGATAATTGGTGCTGTCGATCCATATTCCACTATGCACAAAACTCTACAGGTCAATCCCCCCTTTCCACGTATCCTTCCAACATCTTCACAAACAGGGTCACCCCCTCCTCTCATACAATACCCCCAACCTTCTTATGAATGTCACCTTTCTGCCTCATTGAGTCTTATCTCCAGGCTCTTTATGTCTTTCATGTCCTGGTTCTATAAAGGGGGGCTGATTAACCCAGAGAACAATGATCCAACCCCCGTTTTTTGCCGGGTATGAACCCCCCTTCTGTTTCTCCATTGATTTTTGTGTCTCGCCTATGGCTCTGTTCACCCTGTTTACGCTCTAGTTACGTTGTAATATCAAGCTTCGTGTGTCACATTGTTTGTACCCCTTTGTTATTCTAGTACATGAGTGACATCATGAAGGCCATTTGTAGTTTAAAGGTATCTCAGTGTTGTTTGAATGCACATTGTATAATAATTAGTTCATTAGATAAATGCAAAAGCGATAAATACAAAGTGAAAAAAATATGATGAATGCGACATGTAAGTCAACAAAAAATACCAATTATCCCTATTCCTTATTGTATGTTTTAGCTCTGCTATAATATCTGTTCTTGTCATAAAGGTGTAGGGGCCTACATGTGCATCCAGGTTTTCTTTCTTTTTTTAACTCCTTTTTTTTTTGGATTTCTTTCTTTTTTTATTTAGAGAATACCCATGATTGCATTTTTAATGGAGGTAGATAATATTTTGAGTAAAATAATTACTCTTTTATTTCTATATTCATGAGGAAGAATTGTTTACCGGTATGCAATAAAAAAAAAAAAAACCTACAAACTTGCTATGTTTACATTTGCACCCTTCTTTGGCTAATTGTGTTAGATTGTTCAAGAGAAACAATTCCTTTCTCTCAATATAACACTGTTAAATTGACATATATATGATTTATTACATACAATGACAACAAAACTACACAACTTGCTATTTGTGTGTAACTTGCTTTCTTCAAATGAGGAATACATTTTTCTTCATAAATTTTTCAATGAGAGGTGATACAGTAAATTATACCAGAGCACAATCACATTTTTTTTTTGCTCAAGACCAACGCTCTCAAACTGACAGATATATGATTGATGCTTGCACCGTTATAAGCGAAGGTCATGTGAAATAAGAGCTAAGCAAGCAATTGTTCAAGTTTATGTTCCATTTCTGTGGTGTGACATGAGTCTCACAAATTGTGGTTTTGATTGAGGACAATAGACAACAATACCGATCGACGGGAGTATTTAACTTCTGTTTGGATAAGAAATAGAGGTATTCAGAATTGCATGAAATTGATTCTTGCCGGCATAATCAACTCGTAAATGTTTTGTCAAAAGGCTAGAAATATCGTACCGCCCAGATCGGTCAGACGCAAACATGAATGAAACCTGGTGAGAAGCTAGATATGTGTTGGTGTGAGAAAGGGAGAAATTTCAAACAATGTTGAAGTTTTCCTTTTGTTCTTTTTCTCACCAAGATCGCAGCCTTGGTTTGCAGACGACTGCAGTCCAATATTGTCAGTTGAAAAAGGCGCGTTCTATTCTTAGCTAATGGTGTTTCAATGGTAGAGTAATTTTGACTTCTGTTTTCATGATAAGACTGAATTCAACTGTCATTGGACTTGTTTATGTGTATGACACTTGATTTGAACCTGTCCTGTTTTTAAATTTGTATAACATTTTTGCGATAGCCTGTATGAATATGAAAAACAAGGAGCATCTTTTTGTATATGGTAATTGATATTGAAGTGAGATGAAATTCCATAAGTAATGTTATTAGCATCAAGGTGTGATTAATCAAATAGAATTTATTGTCTGAAGTTATCTTTAAAGGGCAATTTCCTTGCTTTGCTGCATTTTTTCTTCCGATAAACCAAGAAATTACATTTTCACAAAAATTTAGATTTTAATTCAATACATCTCTTGCAGATAATTTCAATTATAAATATGAAAAAGGACTTATATTCAAAACACAATATATTAAATAGATTTTGAATTAAAAAGATTTTATCAAACAATATTGTTTTACAAGCATCCCAATACGATGGCTTTGCCTTCTTGACGGATAACATGCAGAGTTGCAGACCATAGAACATACAAACGACGGACGGACGCCGCCGCACAAGCAACCCTTGGGGCACTACTCCTACAATGTCAATTATGCCAAGTGGAAGTTTGCTTCATTAGGTATACGCAACCTTGTGTGATCCGGCCTTTATCGTACGTGGTTTCGTGGTCATATAAAAATGTTGGTCATTGATTTTTATGTCTCTGGCTGAAAATGAAAGGTAGCTGACATACCTGAGCAGAGACGAGCCTTTATTATTATAATAATTTCATAGGCTTGGCTTGGAGGAAGTGGGTATGTTTGAATGAATTTGGAAAGCTGAATATATCCTGAGGTTTTACTAAATGTTTTACTCGATCCATCAGGTATTGTTTCAGTGATGCACTTGTTATTTATGGTTCCTGTTGGTTTTCTTCTAACCCAATTTTTACAAGGATTCTGGTTTCATTTCAAAAGTTTGATGATTCTGTTTGCTTAGAGTAGATGTCATGTTGAATTTGTCAAAAACCCTTGAATAACTAGGCCATTGTCAACACCACATGTTCCCTCTTGAGAACATTTACCTTATTATGGGTCGTGGTTTGATGACAATAGCTATTGTATCCATGTATTTTACATTAATGAGAAGGATGTTGTATTAGGGTTGGCTATCCCTTTCCTGTTCATGTCATAGAATGGAAGAAAAGACAGGATTTCAAAGCAATTGTATGAGTTTTGTACATCAAAGGTTTGCAGTAATCTGATTGCTCAGATTACAAATGCATTACTTTAGATGAGGGAGGAGGAGAAAATATTTAGCTAATTATCTATAATAGTACACCTAGATGCATTTAAAGTAGTTTTAATGTTAGATGGTTTATTAAGTAGTGACAAATCCAGAAATCTTTTATAATGAAGGAAGAAATTCTGTGAAAATACAAAAATGTTGCGACAAAATGTTGTTGTATACTTCAGCAACATGAGAACTATTGCTTCAAAAAGGGGCATGGGCCATTTGGTCCACTCCCTCCCCCTTTACCAATGATATTCAAATTTGTATACAATATAGTTTCATAATATCTCTGATAAGTCTGGCTCATTAAGCACAAAAACAAGACTCTATCTTCACTATCTCTATTTCTGTTCTTCTTTATGCCTTTAAGATGAGTGGGATAACATAATTACAAGAAGAAAAAAAGGGGGAAAACCATGTTCCATAAGAGCAAGAGGTTAACTTGAATCATGAGTCAGTTTCCTTCATGCTCACCATACTGAGAGGGGGATATTGAGGGGTAAAGATTTATAGCTTGCTCCTATCTTGAGAAAGATTACTATGGGTATCATATTAAGCCTATATGATAGGTACTCCTCCCCTAATCAAAGACCTCTTGTATCTACAGTTTCCCCCTTTTCTGTGGCAATATGTTTCTTTTCCTTTTTTTTCTCTTTATAGGATTATTTTTCTTTGTGCTAATCCTTTTTTGTATGATAGAAATGTAGATTGTTTCTTTAACACATTTTGATAAAATGTCTTCAAAATGTTGACCCAATTGTGTTGTAAATACATCTCTCTTTCTTTTGAGATTTTATTCTGAAAAAAATCCATATCTTTTCTCTTTTTATGAAAGTTATCTGTTCTTGTTCATAACTTACTGTTTAACTGGCTGTTGTTTACTAGAACCAAAATCATTCTCTCAACATTCATACACATTAGCTCTGCACTGAGTTTCCATTGCTAGAGTAGAGGCCATATTTCACATTTTTGAGAAGTATAGACTTTAAGCATAGATGCCATTTGCCCATCATCATCATCATCATCATCAGTACAGTCTAGCAAGGCCTTACTGTGGTTGGCTGTCATGCTTGGAAAGTTTCCACCAATGAGGCGTCAGAATACAGTACCCGCCCACTCACAGTCAAGCTCTGTGTGTATACACTATGCATGCATGCACTCCCCCAGCAGAACAGAGTACTCACACACACACACTGCACAGTTTGGCATTGAATTGGAATTCCCCACCATTTACACTTGGTCCATAGAGCGTGTGGTTTTGGGATCGGTTATCCTTGGAAGATAATTCTTCTCTTCTTTTATATTTTTGTTCTGGCTCTTTATCAAACTGTCACCCAGCTATTGTAAACCATTCTACTGTATGGTGTTGGTGCATGAACACATGGCTGGCTATAGCTGGGCAGCCAGAAAACTCATTTTTGGTGAAAACCCACAGTTAATTCTTGGAATTTAATGGAATTTTTCTTGTGATGCTGCCAGATTTTAGATCCGTCCCAGCTAGGATATTCAACTTGAACTGAGAATCATATTTGCATAGCTGTTTATTACCTTCGCATGGACTTGTTTATTCTCTATCTACATCGATAGCAGCATCCAGTTGAGATTTGTGTACTACATGCCTTGAAGGTTGACCGGAAACGCTTTGCTTTGGACTTTGTCTTTGTACACAATTCAAAGTACTAACATGAGACCTTGTAAAATATCTTTGAAGATCATAGGTTTCTGATTTTTCAGCTGGATACGGCCGGGGCTCATTAGAGGAAGAGTACAGCTATAGTTTGAGCAGGGAGATATATATCCCTGACCCTGGTTTGAGCTACCAAATTCATTGGATCTGAACTAAGTAGCATTAGTCTTCGGTAGTTCCTTCATGCCCTGATCAAATTTTTCTGCTTGAAGGCTCATGAGGTGACGCCTAAATCACTGTGGTTTTTCTATGGATTCAGCGTGGAGCTGTATTATGTGCTTCATGACACACAAGCCTATAAACGACGTCTAACCTCAAGAGAGCTCCCCTCTTTCCATGTCTCATATCTGTGCTTTCATTTGGGACAAGCCTCATAATTTTCGCCTGGCTTCCCTCGAAAGTGCGCCACAATATTCCGTATCTTCAAGATTTGTCGTCGCTTCCCCCGAAGTCCAACGAGACACCGTTTAACGGGAGGCAGTGTATCACCATAGCGATCTCACGATCCATGTCACCATCTCACACAGAAGCCGACGGAATCACAGATTAAAATCTCTCTTCATTTCCTATCATTTATAGGAGGATATGGTATTTACAGAGGCTTTTATGATATCGGAGTCTCAGGTTCAGGAAATCGACTTTAAAATCTGCGTTGACAGGTCTCTAATCTTAAACTAGGAAGCATCATTCAAGAAAGACTTCAGTTTTCATCAACTTCACATTACAATTTTTACAAACCCTATCTTTACTTCAATTTTTCAAGAACACATCAGCTAACTTTATTCTTTAGTCATATCTTCCTTTGGTTACTTTAAACAGTGGGTTCTGATTTGAAGGCTTGTCTTCGCTCTGTCGCTTCTGGCCTAGGAGAAAGTTCTTTGTTCAAGGCGAGATTTCGACACCAGTGAACTTCGGCTGTCGTTGAACTTTTTGTGGCTATACTTACTTAGTAACCTCATTAAAATCAGCAAGACATAACCTCTGGGGACATTTCCTTGTTGCTACAAGTACGTGCCTATTTGCTTTAAGCATAGCCATTACATATCTAGCCTCCAGCGAAAAGCTAATTAGTTGCTATTCTCAGAAAGTTGAGCTTCTCAAGCAATAGCGTCTCATCAACCCACTAAGGATTTTATCTTTTGGAAATAGGAATATTGACAATCATTTGCTTGAAGTTTTTGATTTATTGAGCATGCTCTTTTCGTTTCAACGATTTGTCACATAATTCTTGATTCCACTCATTTTCACCCAGAAAATGTCTAAATCTGTGTGATCCTCTATAAGTATCTGACAGCGCCTAGATCCACAGTGATATTTCTGGGGTGTAATATCTACAGGAAGTACGAAGGATACACATCTGTCATTTTGTTATTTGTGCTTATAACTTGAAGCAACGCCTGTCGTTGTTGCTCTCTGCATAACTAGAGTTTTATTGGAAAATTGTCAAGATTTGATTTGATCGCATGGTCTGAAACAGTTTGATTAATTGCGTTCTGATGGATTGCGTTCCTTGTCTCAAGGTGAAGATAATTGTATTGATTTGGAAAGGAATTGTAAGATTGTGCACTTGCTGTTTCTCGGCGGTTATCCGGATGTGACGTCAGAGAGCAAGAGCAAGTGAGCAACTAGACAGAGCTTAATTTTTAGAGCATTAGCATGTGAGGTTTCACTGAATACCCAAGTTTACACAAATTCAGTTTGAAGGAAAACTTTTTGAATTTGAAGAGTTGTAGAGGTAAAGGCTGGTAGTACATTTCAACATGGCAAACAAAAATTCAAACGCATGTACGACGGACAACGATCCCGATCCGTTTGCAGAACTGGAAATGTGGGTCAAAAGGTTAACGAATTATGACATCACGTCGTCATTCAGCCCTTCCCTGGACATCATCCCGGAGAAGAAGTCGCCGCAGATCGACGAAACAGACCAGGACTATGAGTTCCTGGACGAATTTGAAGAGGTCGAGAGTCGACTGGCCGAGTTGACCTTTGAACTTTCACCTGTGGTTGTGGAAGGTGAACTTTCACCTTTGATTGTGGAAGATGAACATGATAAAGATAGTGGGTATTCTTCTATTTACAGTGAGGGACAATTGCCGAGCCCGGGCGGATTATCAGGAAAGGGCGGCCTCAACGGCAGCGTAACGCCGCCAACACTCAGCGGGAGAAGCACACCCTCAAATTTCTACTACACACAGAAGTTATCACCCTATGGCAGCTCAAGTTCATTAGCTGGTAAGTCACTTTCATTTTTTAAAATCAATTTTATCCTTAAAACTGCAATCACAATTAGGCATTTAAAAAAAAAAGTTGTAATGCCTTTTGCGACCGACCAAAAAATCTTGTAATCTACAGTCGGCTTTAAAAAAAAAAAATTTAAACCATTTTTTAGAGAAAAAAAAGGTTTAATGAATTAAAAAAATATGTATTAAATCATTCAAAACTGAGAAATATCAGCCCAAAGAGGGAGGAAAAAAAGATTTCTGACCAACTGACCCATGTTATGGCACCTAAAGGGCAAAGCAACATCTTTTTTTAGGCCTTATTGTTATGATCATATTTCTAGTAAAGTATTATATGTCTGCAATTGGGGTGACAGGTACATGTAGTAGCTATATCATGTAAGATTTATATAACAGCGATAAATAAATTGTTGCATATATTTCAAAAAACAAGATTGCCCTGCTGAGCAGCAATCACAATGTGATATAATTTCAATGAAATTTTACAAGCTATATATTTTTTTTACTCACTTGAAGCAGTGAATATAGTTGATTCACTATATCCAATTCTTTTTGTAATGGCTCTACTCTATTCAAACTGTAATCCATAGTGATTAAATCATCAATGGATTGACATTTTCTTAATGCGAAGTTCAATGTGAAAACGTGCCACACAAAATCAGTTCGGCCACATCGCCCAGCCCCATTAGCCGTGAAATTCAATTTCCTCAAACGCTAATGCTCTCCCCAAAATCGTAGAATATAGATGTGAAAATTGTCCATTTTGTTTTCAAACACGTCCCTTCCCCATTGGTAGCCTTCTTTCTGTGGGTTTTATTTGGGAAAGCGGTCGATCGAGGGGTTGAAAATTGAAATTGCGACTGCCGCATCTCGTGAAACAGTTAATCAATTTTGTCAAGCTAATTTGTAGATCCATTCCCAAATTGTACCACATTTGTCGATTCCGAGTTTGTCTGCTCCTACCTCGTTCTAATGAAAGAGATATGTTTCAAGGGTAACGGACTAAGCGTGATCTATTAGATGTATATCAAGGTCACGTGTATGTAGGATTCTGGCTTTGATGGACTCTAATCGTTGTTGAGCTCGATGTCCATGTACTTGCATGACCATGATCATCCATTTGTGGGATGGAGTCGTTTAAACAAACGATACCTCTCACAGGATTCACAAAAACAAGCAGCATGCTACAATTTCAGTTGCAAGCTTTTTACAATTGTTGATACATTTTTTTGTCTTGGCATAAACATTTGAGGGGATTGATAATTTGTTTTTTAATATTACTTCTGATGATATTCAGATGGGCAATAAGTGATAATAGCATCTTTTAATAGCCAGAAGGGTGTTAACTAGTGTAATTTTACATAGAGTTAATGCACATCTGGCTCTGTATACAGACAATATACTGCTACATGGTCCACAAGTTGAAATTATTGATTTTACCAAACCAAAGAGCTCTATACACTACATGCAGATAAATTCCTTGCTTGTTCATGAATTGTAAAAACTGTTCAGCTGTGTTGTAGTATAGAAGATAATAGAAACGAAGAATAGATGCTTTACAAGGGTTAATGGATTGAGGGCATAGGTCATTGACTTGTTAAATGGATGACAAATAGAAAGGGGATCACTCAATGATCTCTTGATCTCTGTATTCAATGTTTGTAATAGACAGTATTGTAATATTGATGGATTTTGTGATTGATATCTATACATCCGTTTCTGTTTATGTTGGTTTGATCGACCATGACTTTATGCGTGATGAAAAGTTGAGAACATGGGTTGAGTTTTGATTGACATTGTGATATGAATTGCATGGTATGTATTCAGATTATATGATATGATTGAATGAAATACATGTCGTGATTGAGTTCAAGCCGTATATCAACAAACAGATGAGCCCGATCTGAACTTATCAGATAATTTGCAGAAGTTGTTTGAAAGTAATCATTGGGGATGGAATATACATAAGCTGATTTAATTATCGTCAATGTTTGCAGTAAGACCTATGAATAAACAGATAAATGAAGGGAATACTGACAGTATGGGAAACTATGCATGTAACATAACAATATGAGATTAAATGCCTTAAAAGTTTGGGGGAGGGGCAGCTTTCTTCTAAAATAAAGGACTAACAGCATTTCCATGGTTTAGACATACGTTTTGCTGATGGTAGTACAGAATCCCGATGTACATGTATATCAAGTTAGGGACTCCAGTCGCTCCACAAATCTACACGTAATACCTTGGGAGTAAATATATTCGGATCCATCTTCAAATTCCTCCTCCTCCTCAAAACATCTCGGCAATTTCCTCCATTACTTGATGACATGTAAGAAGATGAATGATGGCCCTGTCCACTCCTTTCAAAGCCCATCTGGAAAATCAATTAGAATTGTAAGAAATAGGCTATTCTTGAGTGTCAAGATCAACTACCGAATTTCAGGAACGGCTCCTTAGGGGGAAAACAATACTTGGAAGTGAAAAGCATAATTGATAGTTTTGAGATACAAAGTGAGGTTTTGGGAAGACAGGCAGAAGGGCTAAAGGGAATTGGAGGGGGGGGGGGTGTAATTCTGGTTAGTAGAAGTGGGGTCGCATGTTTTCAGTAGCCCTTCACCTTATCTTCTGCCTACTCATCTCTTACCACCCCCCACCCCCCCCCCCCCCCCAGAAGAAGAAAAAGGTGGAAGTTTAGCTAGAAGACCTTCATTTTATAGAGATTAAGTGAATTCTCAAATTGCCCATTAGTCCTATAATAGTTCTCAGAAGTTATTTCTCTTTCATTTCCCCCTAAAGCAACAAACAGGTCATCAAAAGTAGCAATCTCTCGGGCATACAAGAAAAATTAGGTGTCAATCTGTTCAAGTTTCATTCTTATGAACTTCACAACACTTTGATACAATTCAACCCCTGAAAGCTTGCACCAATCAAATTAGCCGGTTTTGATTTTCAAAGTTTAGCAAGTTCCTGTTGTTACTCAGGACGTCATGTCGAATCTCCTTCTACAAATTTGCTCAAGTTCTTTACCACAGTTACAAGGCTGAGTTGTTGACCAATATGCTCAGGGTTAAATCCCTTGGTGTAACAAGCTTTTGACCGGTTGAAGCTTGACAAGCAAACGTTTGAACTGACACAGTTTCACAGTTACTTGCTATTTTTTTTAAATTCTTGTTCAACATTTTCTGTCTTGAAGTATCTGCATTCATGTTCGCCTGTAGATCCAGTTTAGCATTCTTGCATGCATGTAGACCTATAAATATGGATTTATGTAATAATAATAATAATATATTACATTTATAAAGCGCTTAATACAATCTTTCTAAACACTTAACAAAAATACAAAGTAACGTTATGTACATGTAGCGCTCAGTACAAAGTAATGTTTCTAAGCACTTAACTGGAATACTATGATGAATATAGATTGTATTCATGCATATATATTTATGTTATTACAACAAACCATTAGTGTCAAGAACTTTACAGACAGTAAGACACTTTTTAATATTGTTTTAGAAAAAATAAATGAAACTTGGAAACTTATAATGACCCAAATCCCAGGAATATACAGTCTTTTAAAAAGCTATTCTTCAATTTCTACATTATTTTTTTTTGCATCAAACATCATAACAGTATCAAATAGAACTTTGAAAAACATGAGGCACAAAATATGTTCATAGAGTTAGATAAGTCAGCTTTTATCTTCTGTAATGTGAGAGATAATGAGGAGTGTAATGAGGAATCATATTTCTTCTTGAACTTTTCCAGCAGACCTGCTTGAAATATATCCTCTAATGACTTGTCAAAGCAGTGCAGTAGTCCAGGAATTATCTTATCTATTTTCAGTACTGATTACAGATTAATTGTCAGAGAGTGGTCTGAGAAAGAACAGATCTATATTTGAGATTGATTTCTGCCATGTTGATCTGCTGGAGACATTAACCACACCCACACACACACACACAAACAAAAGAGTAGACATGACATCGTCAAGTTTGTTTGCAAGGTAACATGAGCATTGTTTGCCTTCTAATTACTGGTACAAGTTTTATCAGCCAGAACAGCTATAAGGCTTTAAGTCTTTGAAGGTACATGCACATGTATGCACTTACTCCCTTCTGGCACTCAGTCATGTTAGTAGACAATATAAAGATTGCTTCATCAGACCGAAGCTGCAAAATAACCTGCTACCGTATTTTCCCGAAGCTCAAAATTGATAGGCTCATCACAAACTAGATGAAGACGGGTGCAAATTAGCCCGCAATTTCCCAAATAGCAGGGTTTTTTGGAAACAATTAAGACCAAGCTTTCTCCGGATATTTTCTTGATCAAATAACCCGCTAATTGCATTGCAACTGCGGACTGATGAAGACGCAAATTAGCTGGCTAATTTGGGAACGGGCTAGTTAAGATAGCAGGTTATTTTGCAACTTCAGTCAAATGAAAATAGGCCTTATGACTTGATGTACATTACTTGACCCATTTATCCTTATTGAAGAGGATATAGATTGAAGCTGGTGACAAGGATATTTTTATTAGGATTTTAGAAAATAAGTTTCAAGACAATCAAATCAAATTTTTTTTTTCAAATTGCCTGGTTTTATTATTTGTGTAAGTTCTATCCAATTCAGAATTCACCAGTAAAGTTAAGATAAGATATTAGCAATTTAAATTAAATTCAGTTCAATACAATATTAAATAAACATTTCAAGCAAAATGGCGATATACTGTATGCCTGTAGAACTGTCTTTAAGTTGTACATAAAACCATTCCAGTTATACATCATCCAACTTGCAGCTATATAGAAAAAAAGTGCAATCAAATAATCAATCCTGAAGATATATCACAGGGGTATTTTTAACCTGAATACAAATTCCACCTCATTAAATCACATACGAATGAAACCATCTGCCAAGCCATCAAGAGAGTTGGAGAGTCACAATCGTCATGTTCATCATATCCAAAATCATGATCATAACACTTGAGATATCTGTC